TCATCGATTGGTCGGTCGATTACTTTATCTGACGGTTACTCGACCTGACATCACCTATGGTGTCAATATTTTGAGTCAGTTTGTTCATGCGCCGACTCGAGCACAATTGGAAGTTGCTCAACGCATCCTCCGCTATCTCAAGAATGCCCCTGGTCAAGGGATTTTCTTCTCCGCTGCAAGTCCTCTTGATTTAGTGGCCTACTGCGATGCTGATCTGGGTGGTTGTCAGTCCACTCGTCCTTCTACTACAGGCTATGTTGTCACCCTTGGTGGTGCCCCCATCTCTTGGCGCACCAAGAAGCAGCAGGTGGTTGCACGTTCTTTTGCTGAGGCCGAGTATCGTGCCATGGCTAGTACTGTCAGTGAAGTTCTTTGGCTGCGTTGGCTTCTTCGTGAACTTGGTGCACCCCAGTCTGGCTCTACCCCTCTTTACTGTGATAACCAGGCGGTACTTCACATTGCTGCTAATCCGGTGTTTCATGAGCGCACCAAGCATGTCGAGATGGACTGTTATTTCGTTCGCGAGAGGGTTCAATCTGGTGACATTGCTCCCTTGAAGATCAGTTCGCATCTACAGCTTGCAGACATGTTCACCAAAGGTCTCGGTGCATAGAGGTTTCATTTTTTATTGTCCAAGCTGCACGTTCGCAATCTTCACGTCACAGCTTGCGGGGGAGTAATGGACAAGGTCCAATCACATATGGCCCAACCAAGTTCCAGCCGAGAGCCCAGTAAGCCTAGGGCGGCAGGTCACGTGTGTGGGGTTTTTACTTGCCCCTATAATGTAACCCTAGCTAATGATGATAAAGGGTATAAATCAATGTACATGACCATCGGCCAGAACCAAGAAAAACTAATAAGAGTTTAGCCTGGAGAGCAAAGCTCTCCCGTGGACTAGTCCCGATCATCGGGGAAACCACGTAAATCATTGTCCCGTGTTTCTCGTTTTTCGCTTTTTTCAAAATGCATTCGGATCCGAATCCAGACACTACCTTTTCCTCGCCTCAACCTCCTCTTCTTCTTCCGCACGCGCTGCCGCAGCGTTGGAGCTGCTCGTGGGACCCTCCCATCGGTACACCCACTCTATCCCTCTCCCCTTCAACAAAATCCAAGAAGAAGATGATGATGGGGAGGATAGAGATCCCGTAGCCGCTGCCGTTGAGGTAGTTAAATCTCCGATGACCTCTGTCAGAGCTGTTGAATATGAGAGGAATGGGGAGGAAACGAAGGAGAAAATTGTGAGAAGGAAAACATCTCTTGTAACGTTAGGTGACAGAACACCAAAAACCAGTTCATTTACGCTATTTTATGCTCATTCACGTCATTTCGTGCTCATTCACGTAATATTCTGGTAATTTACGTAAGAGTGTATGTTTTTCACGTAAATGGAAATTCATACTTTCCCCCCTAACAATTTGTATTGGCTATATTTTATGAAATTAAATTTGGATTATCATTTAATCTATAAAAATATGTTGCATTGATCAGATTAAATCTACACAATGACATCCATTTTGATATATTTTAAAGTTTAAAATTTTATTTTACAACGGCGTGAACAATTACCAATATGCGTGAATAAACATCAGGTGGCGTGACCTAATATTATTGGTTGCGTGAATAATCAACACTCTTATGTGAATAACACAAATATGACGTAAATAACCCAAAATTAAGTGTTTTGTGACCGACAAAAGACTTCACTCTTGTGAGAATTAGTTTTTTACTTTTTTGGGAACTGAAGAGGGAGGAAATTGTGAATATGAAATGATGAAGGAAAATGAAGATGGGGAGCTCTTCGTCTGTTACCTTACCAGAGAGTTTGCTTTGGGCTTGAAATGAGAATAGGCCCAGTACAACAGTACACATAGTCTCACTTTAGTCTTGGTCCAGGGCCCACTTTGGTAGATTAGGAAAATCTTCATTTAGCTTCTCTGCTTCTGAAAGAGAAGTGTTCGCATGGAGACTGAATATGTCGGTACTTCGGTTAACCGGTTAGAAATTGGTAAGCAACTGTCCTGTTAGCTGGCTATCCGGTTAGAAATCGATAATGGTATTCGATTGTTGAATTCTCATAGTCGGTATACCGTTAACCGAATAATCGGTTATCAGTTAAACCGGTAATCGATCGTTTAACAGTCCTAAGCCTAATCGATGATTAAACCCCTCAAATTCTAACTGTACTTGACGAATTCCCGATGATTGCCTTGCCAGCTATTGGTAACTCGGTGAGCAAGACCACGTCCTTCAAAGTGATCATCATCTCTCCCTCGAGAAAGTGGAATGTGTGCATCTCCGTCCTCCACCTCTCCACCAAGGCTGTAAGGAAATTGTTGTCAAACTCCATTTTCACGAAGTATCCTGCACTCGCTAAGCCCGCTCTCTCGATAAAGGGTTGGATCCTGTCATCCCACTTGACCAACTAATTTGTTGCTCCATGTATGATGGGAACATAATTTTCCTAAATAAAATAAATGAATAAGCTTCTTCAAAAGAGTAAACAAAAAAACAATCACTTTTTTAAAATTATGAGGTATATGAATGAGTGCTTACAGGGTCATCTGCCCAAACGCTTTGGGATCGATGGTACTCTTGGGAGTTCAACAATTGGGAGTCCCTCGAACCGGGATGAATATAGATTCTAGGATCGTATATCTCGGCCCCATCTATTATGAAATCAATAAAAAATAATTGTAAGTAGTCACAAATGGGTGTATAAAAAATCTCAAGTAATATGTAATATTACTTGAGATTTTTGTTGCGAGCCAACGCGTTAGGCTGGTTGTGAGACTGAGTAGGTGTGGAGGTTTATCCTTTAATCCTTCTGGTTTTGCCTCAGGCCTTCGAGCCGTTTTCTGGCTTCAATGGTCCTGCCTTTGTACTTTTCCTTGTAATTCTCCTTCTTTTTAATATATATCACCATTAACAAAAAAAAAAATGTAATAACTGTAATTAGTGCACCGCACATGATTCCCTTTGCCAAATCATAACATAACAAAAGTAGGATAAATTTACTAATGAATAAATAACATAGCAAGGAAAATGAGATTATACCCTTAGGGGTCATTTGGATGAGTCTTTTGGATGAGTCAATTCTGTCCAATTGACACAAAATGAGACAATTGGGTTACATTGACTTGTTTGGCAGCAGAAAAATAAAATGGATCAATTTGGGCCGGGGCAATTCTAATTATCTCGTTATGGGTCAATTTAAAATACCTGGGTGGGGGCAGGCAATCTTCATTGACGCGTTTTTGGTCCCCACATTCCAATTGTGACCCTCGTATCTTTCCTTCCTCTCTCTATTCACTGGTACAACCCTTCCATCTTCTCTTCTCTTTCACGTCTCTCTCTGGGCTTTAACAGACGCACTACAACGTGAGAACAAGATCCCCAATCTTCACTATGGCAAAAATCGAACAATTTTCTCTCTTCTTTTCTTCATCTTCTATCTCTCGTTCTCTTCTTCCTGTCCGCCTTCTTTGTCCGCTTCTCGAATCGACAAACAAAAATGCGGAGATGATGAAGATGGTGGTGGTCGGCGCCGACTACAAAGACTACAACGGCGATGAATTTGAAAATTAGGTTTGTTCTAATTGCATGTCGAATTCGGGTTTTGCTTACTTATTTCGGATCTGACACATGTGTTTTTATGTGTTTTCATTTTAATTTCTTGGGGTTATGATCCGGGGAGAAGAGAAAGGGCGGAGCAGTCGCCGGCAGCAAAGAACTTTGATGGTAGCCTTAATCGCTGCCTCTTCCTTCATCTGAAGAGGAACCCTAACATTCAATCTCTCGTTTTCTTCTTCCTCTCCCCTTCTCTGTTCGCTATTGTATTCGGTACAGATCTTGGATGAATGTTTTAGGGGGGGGGGGGGGGGTTGGTTGGTTGATTCATGGGAAGATTTGGTTGTTTGGTTAGTTAAATAGTTGTGGCGATGATGATGAAATAGTTGATCTTTATTTGTTTTCTGGGAAAGAGAGAGTCGATCTTTGTTGGTCTGGAAATTTTGTTCTTTAGTTGCAAAGAGATGAAAGGAAGATGAAGAAGAAGGATAAATTGAGGGCAATAGTGTCTTTTATGCAATTGCCTCATCCTAAATCTCGCATCTCAGATTACAGGCCAAAAGGGATAATTTGGGACAAATTTTTCATAGAATTGCCTCACTTTTTAAAATGAAACATTTACTGCAAATTGCCTCATTTTACAAATGTTCCATCCAAACGACCCCTTAGATAGTTCATCTTCCATTTTTGACAGATGTTGGACAGAGTTTTGTCTGGTAATTTTGGGACTAAGGTCAACAACTCAAGAAAAAATCTTTTGGTGTGGAAGATCTGTCGTATCCGCAAACACAAAGCATACTCGAATATTTTCTTGAGGGCTGGAAGGAGGAGAGGGAGAAGAGTGGAGTGGACTGGAGTGGAGTGAGAATTGGAAGGAATTATGGGTGGTATTTATGGGATTTGGTAAAGGCGTTCGCTGGTCAAAGCAAAGACAGCTCAGGTTTGCAGGAAAACACGCAATCCGCGTCGTCGCTCCATCAACCCATCAACCCATCAATTGTTCGCATGTCGAAGCAGCGAACAACTGTTGTTCGCTGGAGTAAAAGCGATCAACGACTGTCGCTTTACTCACGTGCGATTCGCGTCCTCCTCCCTCCATCAGCGGCGGATCCAGGATATAATAGAGCACTGGGCCTCATTTTGAATAGAATATTAAATATCGTAAATAAAAATTTTTGGATAAATAAAATTTAATAGCTAAACCTTTCGAAGTTTTGAATTATTAGCCAAACTTTCAAAATATAAAGTACTGTCAAATGTTAACTTACCGTTAGCAGTTTTATTAGTAATATTGACTTGGCAACATGATACTGACTTGGAAGAGATACGTGGTAGTCAATATTCTAAAATTTTAGTATTTCAATTAAGAAAATAGTTACAAAAATACCAACGATAACAAACAAATGGCTAATATTTTGATCTGTTGCAAAAATTTGGCTACTATCTTGTATTTGGAAATCAGTAGCTTGGAGCGATCAAATGGAGAAGGAAAATCTGAGAGGACGAGCGAGGAATCCAAGGAGACCCAGATCCACAAGGTACGTTTTTATCATTTTGGTAAACAAATTTTCTCAGTACATAGATGAAGCCAACAATCTAAAGATCTATGGTTTGGATTGTAGATCCGTTGGAGAGGACACACGGAGGGGCGACGAGATCGATCGATTGGAAGTTGATTGTTAATCCTGATGGTTTAAGGTGAGAATATGATGATTTTGCTTCGGCTCTGTCGTCTGCTATCTTTAGTTGCATGTTCTTTCAACACCTTTCTTCGATTTTTCTTCCCCTGTTCATCTTCACTCTCACGGTTTGTAACCTTTAATGATCTTGGCAGTTTAGATGCTCGGACAATTGATTTTCTGGGGGAGATTAATGATATATATCGACCACCTTCCCAGCTCATATGAGCTCTGATTCTTGGTTTCTATCATTTCATGATTCTGCTCTTAAAGGTTTGTTTTCTATATTCTCATTCTTAGATGAACTAATATTCGGGTTATGACGCTTTTCCCTTATCTTTTTTTCCCCAGAAACCAGCGAAACTCAGAACAAGTAAACGCCTGTTCTGTGTGGTCACGAAAGCATAATGAGTCCCAGATTTGCTGGCGTTTGTTGTCAGCTGATTCCTCCTCTCTATATCCAATCAATTGGTTCTCTCTGTCTCTCCCTCATTTTAAGTTTGTTTCGTCGCTTTTGAATAAAATTTCATCAACGAGTTTACTATTAAAGACAACTTCAATCAGTAGGGGAAAACCACCAAGGCCGTTGGCTACCTGGATTGCAATTCGTGATTCGCTGGTCGACGTTATCGCAGTGGTGAAAGCAGCTGGGGTAGGTCCAATATATCTACGTTCATAGTTAACTTACTCTTTTATTTTTCTTATATTTTGCTCTTGAATTGATCATATATATTCTTCTACTAGAAACGAGTGTTGAAGATGCCATCCATCATCCATGATTACATGGAGTAGATGTTAATTATATTTATTAGAGTACCAACTTGTAAATATGCTCAGCTGCATATGCGGCTAGGGTTGAGATCAGCAACCTATATATACTCGTGTAAACATGTAAAAGAGTATGAAGTAATAATAAGCCTAAAACCTGTGAGGGAGATCCTCACCGTGGACTAGTGTCACATTGACGAAACCACGTTAAAAAACCTCGGTGTTCTTTACAGTTTTGACAGTAGAAACCTTTGAAGCGTTTTCCAAACTTACACAGATTCCGCATGTGTTTTGTTTCCAAATCCTAATAATTTTATTGTTTTGTACTTTTATAAACTAAACCCAGATCTTGGGAAATTGTAGGAATTGATTGGGTCACAGCATATATGATTTAGGAAAAGCTTACAGTGATTATTAGTCTAATCCATTCTAGAAGAACCTGAATGTTAATTCTCATCTTTTTTATGCCTTAGACCTCAGTGTTGGTAGTCTCCTCTTAATCATTGTATTCGTGCTTTGCTGTGCAACATGACAGAGTTTTGTAACAAAATTGGTCTGTGATCGGTCTTCATAACCTTGGAAGTCCAGTGTTTTGAGGCCTGTTCATTCCTTCTCCACAATGGGGGATTCCTGAGCATCCCACCATGAAATTTTTTATTAATGATTTTTGTTTCCAGTTTCTATGGCGTAGTGATGTTCAGCATCAAGTTAGATATGATGTGATGTCTCTAAATGGAGACATTACAGTAGGGTACATGTTTGGTTTGGGCGCCCCAAAGGTTTAGATCTGATGCCTTATTACATTTCTGACTCTGTTTCATTCTCTTGCCATATATGCAGTTAATGTTGGATGATGGATTTTGCCTCTGAGGGAACCTTCTACTGTAATGTGTGATCAGTTGATGTGTCCTCCTTTTTCATGGTCAACGAGTTTGTTTTGGCATTTACATAAACTATTTCTCCCATTTTTGTTTCAGCCTATTACGAAGAGAAAATGTGGCCACCCGATGGTTCAATCGTAAATCGGAACTTCCAAAAGATCACTTAGTGATGATGTTAGCATGTTAGTTCTTCACCTAATTAAGCATGTTAGTTCTTCACCTAATTAACGACATGTAAACTCATAGGTGTTTTGTATGATTTCCTATTATGTTAAACCTTGATATAATGTTAACCCATGGAGTGTAATGCTACTCAATGCTGCTATCTAATGAAAGATGTCCCAAAATTTGGAAAAAATCCAAAACTACCACTGTTTTAAAATTTTTTTACAAAAATACCACCCTCACCAAATAATTTCCAAAAATATCATCGTTTATATAAAACCGCGCCTCTGATGAGCGGTTTTCAAAGAAACCGCGCCTCTAGGAGGCGTTTTATCTTCTAACCGCTCCTTGGACGCGTGTTTTTATTTTCCAGAGAAAACCGCTTCTGGCAGGCGCGGTTATAGGCTAACCCTACCACAAAACGCTCTAAGAGGGAGCGTTTAAATGTCGGCATTACAAATCGCCTGAGAAAGGGGCGGTTTACAATGTCAGGACACAAACCGCTCCCTTGAGGTGCGGTTTGTGCCTGGTCACCCGACACCCGACATGTCGGACATGCCGGCATGCAGGGGTAGGGCTGCATGGCAGACATAAAACCGCTCCCCCCCAAGCGGTTTTGCTGCAAAATTTGCCTATAAAAGGCTGTTTCGGAGAACAAAATTCTTCACACTTCCTTCCTCAAATTTCAGCTTTGCACCTTTAAATTATTTAGTTTTTGCGATTAACGTTAATTCGTAAGTTTGTTTCGTAATTACTTTTCATTGTCTTTGTGATTTTATGTTAGTAACTTAATTACTTTTGATTGTCCTTTGTGATGTTATGTTAGTAACTTAATTACTTTTCATTGTCATTTGTGATTTTATGTTAGTAATTTGAATTACTTTTCATTGTCCTTTGTGATGTTATGTTAGTAACTTGTGTTACTTTTCCTTGTCATTTGTGATTTTATGTTAGTAATTTGAATTACTTTTCATTTTTCTTTGTGTTGTTATGTTAGTAACTTGTGTTACTTTTCATTGCAGATGGCATTCCAAAGGTTCACGCTTGGGTTGCGGTGGAATGGTTACACGGAAGAGACCGAAAAGGGTGTAAGTTACGTCGGTGGCAATTTTCATAAAATGAAGGTCCGTACCAAACCGATGCTTGAAGAGCTTCACCGAATGTGCACTCAGATTACCTGCATGGATGCCAGTAGAAGAGTTGATCGAATGGTGTATCGATATCCAAACAGACATGACGGGTCGCTGTGGCATGAGGAATTCCTCCTTACCACTCAGGAGGATGTTGATGCCATGGTCCAATTTTTGACCACCAATACAATTAAGCAAGCGGAGATGTTCGTTTACACCGAGGCCGTCGAAGGCAGTGTAGGTCATTCTGGAGGTGGCCAAACATCCGGTATCCACGGTGGGAGTGTATTATACGAAGATCATCCCCACCAGGATTTCCAAGACTCGAGTTGGAGTCAGGATTATCATCATGGAACCGGAGGGAGTCATCAATCCTTCCCTTCATATGAAGAAGAAGCTCAACAGGCGGATTACAACCAACAAGCAGGCTACCAGTACCCACCCGAGTACAACTTCTATCAAAGCGGTGTTAGTTACCACAACTACCATTACGGAGCTAGTGAAGGTCAAGGTGCCTTTCATGCTGATAATCAGATGAAAGAAGAGGTCAATCCAAGTCCAGTTAGTGACCCTGAGGTTGAAGAAGAGGAAGGCGAAGTTAGTGCAGACAGCTCCGATCCGCTGGAAGGTGCTGATGATTCCGGTCCAGATTCAGACGCAGATGGTGATGAGGTACCTCACGACCGTGTACCTATTCCATACTACAATCACATTCAAAGTGAAGATTGGTATGTTGATGCCGACATGGACCCGCTAGATGTGCCATTATGGGGTCCACTAACTGGCTTTACGAAGGGCCAACAATTTGCAACGAAGAATGAGGTTCGACACGCTATTTCCACTAAAGCAATGACTCGGAGTTTTGAATGGCAGACAACCCATTCCGACACAAAGAGGCTGATGTTCGATGCAGAAACCACAATGAGGGATGCACAGCTAGGGTCCGGGCCATCAAGATCAAGAGAGTCGGTCATTGGGTCATATCCCGTGCGGTGAACACACACACATGTGTGTCATCAATAACATCCCAAGGCCATCGACAGTTGAAATCAAGGGTGGTTGCCGCGGCTATCAAACATCTAATTGAGGAGCAGCCCGACTTGAAGGTGAAAACCATCATCGCCCACATTTCTAGTCGTTATGGTTATATCATTAACTACAAGAAAGCGTGGCATGGGAAACAGAAAGCAATGGCTGCCGTGTTTGGTGACTGGGAAGAATCATATGCATTCCTTCCCAAACTGATTTTGGCGTTGGAGGTGTCTAACCCTGGAACCATTTTCTCGCCTCGCTACCAAGATGAAGAAATTCAATCGCCGGTGGCTGGTAACAATCGCCAATTCAAGCGTCTTTTCTGGGCCTTCAAGCCATGTATTGATGGTTTTCCATACTGTGTTCCTGTGATTCAAGTTGATGGAACATTCCTTACCGGCAAGTACAAGGGTACTCTACTAATTGCCTCCGAACTCAGGGTTGTGCTTACGCCTGATCTCCGCCGTCAACCACGTGATGGATACTTGGCCCTTTGACAATGGTGGATGACCATCCGCATCGTGATCTCCCTTTTCTGGCGGACACAACCAGGTGACCGTCCATATAAAATGTTGCCAACCACTCATATTGGCAACAACTTTAGGTGGTGGCGTAGAGTCCACACAAACAACATCACCATCGATGGGGAGATCAGTTAGGATGGCGATGTCCTTAAGTGTGATGGTGCACTCGCCTTCACGAAAATTGAAGCAGTGTGTCTCCTTTCGCCATCTCTCTACCGTCGCCGTGATGAGTTGGCGGTCGATCTTAATTCCATTGAAATGCCTAATCGAATCCAATCTTGCCCTTTTTAGAAAGGGCAAGATGATGTCGTTCCATTCAAGCACATTCGTTGTGCCCCTATAGCGGACTATATGGTATGCATCCTAGAGAAAAATTTAAATTTCACTATAAGTTGATGATTTATACATATATAAATATATTATAAGATACAATTTATATATAAATCAAGGTTGTTTTTAGAGAAATATACATTATCTAATAAACATTAATTAACATAACTAACATAATTTTATAAGATGCAATATTAATTAAATCAAGCAATTTTATAGAAATATACATTATCTAATTAAAATTAATATTAATATAACTAAAATAATTTTCTAAGATGCAATATTAATTAAATCAAGCGATTATAGAAATATACATTATCTAATAAACAATTAATATTAAATAACTAAAATAATTTTTTAAGATGCAATATTAAATTAAGCGATTTTATAGAAATATACATTATCTAATAAACATTAATATTAACACAACTAAAATAATATCCAAATATATTATTTTGTTAATCGTATTGATTATTTTCAATAATTTAAAGCAATACGAGTACACTCGCAAGACTCTTAGGAGAGATATACATCTCCTTAGAAACACAGTCTTTTTGACAGAAAAAGGGGGGATCCGAGGATCGCTTAGAACCCGATTTTCCCAGGTCTTGGGGGGATCATGATGATCGCTTAAGTCCCCATTTCCTTAGACATGCATTTCTTTATAAAGAGTCTAAATAAGTGTTGTATTGTATTGATTTAAATTATTGAAAATAATCAATACGATTAACAATTTAGTAAATTATTGTACAAACAAATAAATTACTTTAACAAAATAAAAATGACAAGTGATGATAAATAATATGTACCTTGTGGTCGTTCCAAACGTCTCTTGAACGATGATTTGCTTGATCGTATAAAACTGTCGGATCAATCGGTCCTTGCTCAACATAATATCGTTGATTGAAAATATCAACATCCGGCCCAACCTACGATAGCATAACAATAACACAAATCATTAGTATATAAATTAAATAAATCATTATAACAACAACAACAAATGGGAAAAATGAGTACGTACTGTTTGATAATCATAAAAAAAAGGCCCTCTTCTTGAGCGAAATCGGCCATTCTCTCGGAATCCGGACAGAGGTTCGACGGTTTTTTAGTGAAAACCAAAGAAAAGTTTTTTGGAGGCAGATCGGACTTAGGCCGCAACCAACAAAAAAACGTTTCTAAGGGGGGAGGGGGTTTATATAGGGCACAAACCGCGTCCCAGAGGGCCATTTCGTCAATTTTCTCCAACAAAAACCGCGCCTCGGGGACGCGGTTTACTTTTCCCGATCAGTGAAACCGCGCCTCGGGGACGCGGTTTACATGGCCGACGCGGATCGCTTACCTGGCACACGTTTTGGCCGTTAGATCGCTCTCCCATCAAGCGGTTTAATGAAACGCCACGTGGACACGCGGTTTGACAGCCATGCAAGGTCAAACCGCGCCTCTGATGAGCGTTTTGTGATGAAACCGCGCCTCTAGGCTGCGGTTTTAATAAAAACCGCTCATCAGAGGCGCGGTTTTATATAAACGATGGTATTTTTGGAAATTATTTGATGAGGGTGGTATTTTTGTAAATTTTTTTTGAAACAGTGGTAATTTTGGATTTTTTACCCCAAAATTTGATTCAGCAGTTCAATACTATTTGTTTATATGTTTTCAACAAAATTAGTTCATTTATTTTCTCTATATACTTAAATATAGCAAATATCCCGCGGCAGAGCGCGGGCCAGGATACTAGTGTGGGATAAAAGCTTCTATCACCCACGTTTGGCCAATCATTGTAAACTCACTTCCGGGTCAAATACGTATCAATGTAATATAAATATAAATATAAATATATACTACCTAACCAACGAAAGAAAGGAAAAAGGATTCAGAGGACAAATGTCCTTTTATTCTTCTCGGCCCGGGAACCAACTGTGAGTCTCAAAGTGGGCCAAGGCCCAAGTGAGGGTTTGGTTCGGGAATTATTCTAAAGGCAACAAAGCCTCGTTTAGCAGCTGGGAAGAGCGAACAGAGAA